CTCTAATTATCCTCATTTTATCGTTGATCGTTTGAAAATGTAATGGTGTCTTTAAAAGGCCCCGGCGGAAAATGCAGAACAGTTGAGAAACAAGACAAACGTATTATTTAAAGTTAGTGTCCAGCCGGGTTTTATGTACAGCCCGACGTTGTACAGTTTTTCGAAGCGCTCGATGGGGCCACGAAATCGAAATGTTTCATTTTTTTGGTCCGGGTTTTAGCCTTGCCAATTTGTCACCTTTCAAATTTGTGTTTTTTTGCCATGAAAAACGAATCGTAGCAGCACTGGAACCTGGTTAGCAACTCGATCACACTGATATCGGCCCATGTGTGCTAAAAACTTGTTTTTCCTGCTTTTCCCATTACCTTATTGCCGACCAAATGCGGACGACTAGTCAATTCCTCCTCCCACTTGGCCAATGTCTTGTTCAGCGTCTTCTCTTTGTACTCATTCCAGAGATCGCGCTGAATTGGTTGATCCCTTGAAGCAATCGAAAAAACCCACGCGCAGCTCGAAATTCTTGGTGAGCGTCGTCCTGATGGTGGGCCAAGCTCGTGGTTGAGCATCTTCCATTGCGAATCCTTGGTCGATTTGCTCTTGCTCGCCGCTGCTTGTTCCATACAGATCTAAGGGCGGGTCGCGGATTATCAACCTTATTGCGGAAATTCGCGCGAGAAATCGGCCAATCTCGACGGCGCCGACGATAACCTTCTTGGCGCCGTCGGCGGCATTGGAGCACGGGCAGTTTCGTCTGTTCTCGAGGCTAGCTAATAGGATCAGCGTTGGCAAAAATGTGTGAGCAAACTATGCTCGGATCTATTTACGCAACATTAGATCCGGGCCGATTTCATCTGGAGCGTAAGATTTACTGGTACGAGAGATTATGCAACTTCTTTTGTGCAGCTTTTATTAGTATCTAGATTATTAAATGCTCAGTTTGGTCGCATAAAAATCTATTCCGCGTTATACTAACCTCTCTTGCGGTGCAGCTTCCATTGCTGGATGGTCATCCGGGTGTCGACAAATGGTTTCCCGGCAAAGATCAGCATCAAACGCAGACATTCCGGCACGACTTCGGCCGGGCAGCGAGAGCAGCTCAAGCTCAGACTTGCTCATTTAGCGAGTGGATTGGCTAGCAATGCTCGGCAGGATTGTAGGATCTGTGGGGGGGTGGGAAGGTCATCGGCCGGGGCCCCTGAATATTTGCTCTCCTTCTGACCCGCCATTTCTCCTGTTTTCCCTAACGCCCAATTTCATGGAGATGGGGGATTTAGAGATAAAGCGTAAATCTTCGAAAATAAAAAACAAGCTGGTGGTTTTGGGTTTTGGTAGGACAATGTGTTGGAAATTTCGGTAGTAGGCATCTTTAGACGATCTTCTTCGAATAACACGTTGGAGGAACTACATTTTCACTAACACAATCGTCGATAGCTCATATTCCATGAGCTTTTGGTAAAACTTTGTATTTGGACGCTTATCGCCAAGGAGGCATTTTGTCACTTTAGAAAGGCACGACCGATTGCACCCCTTGGCAGACATTATAATTTAATCAAAAATGAAAGACATAGGATGGGTTTTCTTCCCAAAGGAGAATTTTGATAGTATACAGAGCGTCTTTCCCGATTGCTGTTATTTCTTCCTAGATTACCCATTTTTTCGAGAAGCTTGGGCCTCTGATACACATTTTGCTAACCTGATGCTTGTCCAAACAGGCCTACACTTTACAATCCACGACTCCAAAGTTCACCCGTTTGGCTTTTGCACCCTCGCGGCACCATTTTTAGCCTTTCGCCCCACAATAACAAACTGGCTTTCAATAGCCGGTCTGGTCAGCGTCCATAGACGCCTCGCGTAATGTCGCATTTCCCCGGCACCATCTTCCTCCAAAAAATAGTTCTGCCGAATCTTTCGCCATTTTCCAACTCATGATTATAATTCGCTAAAAACCCTCCATTTTCCAGGGTAAATATGTCATCGAAGGGTGGGCGACCCGAGGGCACAGACAGCACCGATTTCCATTATCGGCAACAGGTAGCCGCGCATTGTATCAAATCAGGTAAATTTGCTTTCTGAGTTCTGGCTAAAACAGATGGATAGAACGCTAATCTTGGCTTTATTGCTTTTTGACGTAATTACGACTCTATTTACGTTATTTCCCTGGTTTTATAAACTTTTTAGTGCTCAATACAAGAACTACCTCCATGGCTCGCCGTCCCTCATTTCCTCATTGCGATATTCCTTTGGATTAAGGTAACCTTTAAAGAAAAAGCTGACTATTTTGTTTTGGTCGGCCGGGAAGTTCTGCAAAAGAACTTTGGCTTCAACTTCTCCGTACTCAAGAGAATAGACGCGCCATCGGCTTATCCCTGGGAGTACGTCTGGTGCCTGTCCTTTTTCGTCAACATCCTGGCTTTTATGGCGACCCCCGAGGAACAACGTAAGCGTCTCATTCTAGTTTTCTTACTTTCTTTAGTTAAAATATATAAACTACTTCTACTATGGACACTTTTTGACCGGAATCGTCCCGATCATGATGGGACTTGGCAGCCCAACTGCCCGAACTTTTTGATTACGTCTTCATCGCAGACAGTCAGACGCCAACTTTCCAGGTTTGTTTTTGGTTAATAATGTATGTTTTGCTTTGGGGAACATTCCCAATGGTCATCATCACGGTATATCTTTTTCCTTCTTGGCATGCAGATCCACGTTGGTGCTATGTATTGCGCCAGCATCCTCCATAACTCCTGGGCACCGACACAGCGAGGCTAACGACCGCACGCCGACTAAACAACACAAACATTTGCCATCGCTTCACTTTGTTTCCCCCTAGCTTGCTAGTATAAGGACCCAATTTTGTTCACTTGTTATCCACTCTCCCATGAGGAATTTGCCAACTTTCTGTGATTCTTTTGCCTTTCGTCACATTTCTTTGCTTACAATACGGTTCAATTGGTTTTACTTCGCCGATTTCGGTGCAATACTTTTTCAAATAGTATTTTTTTACCTACCTTATTGTGTTTTCAGAATGGCGCCAATGCCCCCGATGGCCGGTGCTTTGCGGGCGTAGTTCAGCCCGTCGGCAGCGAGCAGGAGCTCACGCTGAAGAAGTACTACAAGACAAAGTTGGAGGATGGTTCAGCAGCGTCTACTCGAGAAAAGCCGGAATGTGCGTCGTCTCCATTCGCAGCAGCAATGAGCTGAACTCGGGTGCGGATGTTGAAAGGGAGCTCCAGCAGCTTCACGAGCAAGGTTCATACGTTGGAGAGTATGAGCAAGCCGATGGACAAGAAGGGTACTCGTCAAAGTTCACCCAGAGGGCAAGTACGTCGTTGACTTGGACCCGAAAATCGACCCGACGCTCTTGAATACCGGATGCCGTGTCGCCCTTCGTGCGGATTCTTACGCGCTCCACAAGGTTCTTCCCAACAAAGTTGACCCCCTCGTCTCCCTGATGATGGTCGAAAAAGTGCCAGACTCGACGTACGACATGGTGGGAGGACTTGACAAGCAGATCAAGGAAATCAAAGAGTCATCGAGCTGCCTGTCCAAGCACCCTGAACTTTTTCGAGGCCCTCCGGAATTGCGCAGCCAAAAGGTGTGCTTTTGCCTTGGCCCGCCTGGAACCGGAAAAAACCCTGCTGGCCCGTGCCGTCGCTCATCACACTGAATGCACTTTCATCCCGTGTTTCTGGCTCCGGAACTTGTCCAGAAATTCATCGGTGAGACGCGCGGATGGGTTGCGTGAACTCTTCGTGATGGCTCGAGGCCTCTCCGTCCATCATTTTCATGGACCGAGATTGATTCGATTGGAAGCGTAGTCGCGTCGAGAGGCCAATCCGGAGGAGATTCTGAAGTTCAGCGCACCATAAGCCCGAGCCTTTGAACCAGCTCGACGGATTCGAGGCGACGAAGAACATCAAGGTCATCATGGCCACCAACCGAATTGACATCCTCGACCCGGCCCTCCCTCGACCTGGCCGTATCGATAGGAAAATCGAGTTCCCAGCCCCTGATGAGATTGCCCGTGCTGATATTTTGAAAATCCACTCGCGAAAGATGAACTTGATGCGCGGTATCAACATGAGGAAAATCGCTGAACAGATCCCTGGAGCCAGCGGTGCCGAAGTCAAATCTGTGTGCACAGAAGCCGGCATGTTCGCCCTGCGTGAAAGACGCATTCACGTTACCCAGGAGGATTTCGAGATGGCTGTCGGCAAAGTGATGACCAAGGATTCCGAGAAGAACATGTCTATCAAGAAGCTTTGGAAGTAATTTGTCTATCTCTCATTTTCATTTACCTTACACATCCACCACCGACGTTTTTCCTTGCGATTTGTGAACTTTTGGTCTCTTGTGATTCCCTGTGCCGTTTGTACGTCATTTACTGAATCTACAAACCTTTCCTCGTCTTACATTTCGGCTCGTTTTCCTTGATTTAATGGGTTTCGAAGTTTTCTTCGTATTGAATGAAAAATAAATTATAGATGTGGGGTTGCACCATCGCCGAGTCGAATAACGAGGATTTGCGGGGACACGAGGAGTTCAAGGTATGTTTTTGAATGCTGTTTTCACTTTGTTTAGGCTGAGTTCCTTCATGAGCCTGCCGTGAGCCGCTTCTCATTCCCACAGCCTCCTCTGGGAATCCAGGTTGATCTACCCGATCTTCATATTATTTCTTTTTAGGCTAAGGAATTTGTCGGTGCCCACTTTTGGACGAGATGCTAAGATCTCCAGTTCCGCAAGGTAATGTTTACTACCTCACGTGTTTACTAGATTTTGTTTAGGGTACCACGACACTTGCTTTCGTCTACGAGCCTGCCACTCCTAATGACAAGGGAGGTATCATCATTGCTGTCGACTCTCGTGCTTCCGCCGGAGAATATATCTGTTGGTTTTAGCTGTGACGTCACAATTTCTGGCGCTCTTGGTTACCGGAATCTTTTACAGCTTCGAAATCGGTGATGAAGGTTCTCGACATTGGTGATCGAATGGTGGCAACAATGGCTGGCGGTGCCGCCGATTGCCAGTTCTGGACTCGAGTCGTTGCTAAATATTGCACGTAGGCCATTTTCATCTTCGTCGACCTTTTCGACTCCAGCCTCTACGAGCTCCGTGAGAAGACGCCGATCACGGTCGCAGCAGCAAGCAAATACTTTGCCAATGCCCTCTACGAATACAAAGGACAAGGGCTCTCTGTGGTAATTTTGCAACTCACACCTCGTAATTTCTTAGGGATCTATGGTTTGCGGTTTCGACAAGCGCGGCCCCGCGATCTTCATGGTACGTTAGTTAACTGCTCAGTTTTCTTGTTTTGGTGTTCTCAAATCTATTTTTAATTTCAGGTCAACTCTGAGGGTGATCGCTCTCAACTCAAGGTCTGTTCTGTTGGCTCCGGTTCGCTGAACGCCTACGGAATTCTGGATAACCATTGGAAGGTATAGTAACAGCTTCTTTCGGAAATTATCTGTTCAGGCAAAAATGACCGACGAGGAGGCGAAAGCGCTCGGATGGCGCGCTATTATGCACGCCACTTACCGTGATGCCGGTTCAGGAGGTGTTTGCAATTGTGAGTTTCTATATTTTATCTGTAATTCGAGGCTTGAGACCGTTTTCAACATCACTTTTTTAGTGGTGCACATCACTCCGGACAGCAAGATCCGCTACCCTGGCCGCGACGTCTCCCAGCTGTACTACGAATTTGCCCAAGAACTTGGCCGCGACATCGCCTACGAGCCTCACGATGAATGATTTACTCCAGCGATCTTACGGTACCGCCACACGGAACCTTGTTCTCATTGATGCCGGTGTAGATGTAAACTTTTGTGATTCAGCTTTCAAACCCGTTCCTCCTCTCCATTTTGAGCATCCATTAATGTCAGCCTTTTTCATCCTCTTCACCGACTTCGATACATGTATTTTATTTATGGTTACTTTCATAAAACATTGAGCGTTGAGTGGATGCCTTGTTACAGTCACACTTCAGAGACACCCAATTTTCCCGGCTCCAAGGAAACTATAGTTGCAATTTTTAGATGACATCTCTTTTCAACATCACCCTAGATTCCCGACATTGTGTGCGCGCAGCCTGGGCCATTTGAGGGGTCCGTGTAATTGCAGTCACAAGACCTCGAACCAGATGAAAAGGATGCGGATAATTGAGCGTGGGTTTAGTTTGTCGTTGCGGTGATTCTGGTTCGCAACTTTTTTGGGTGGGTTCAAGTTGCTGGGCGGTACGGTGGGGTGATAATTTGGCTGTGTATTGCATCGGGGGTAGTGTGTCTGTGTCCAACGGGTCCAGGCGGAAGCCCATTGTTGAGTGGGTCTGTGCTGACAAAGGGCGGGCGAAAACAGCGAGATTACCTGAGGGCACGTGCAGCTAAAAAAGTTGTATTGCAACACAGCTTGGTTTCTGATATGCAGAGGGTTTTTATTTCGATAACTGTACTTTTGGTGCTTTGTGTTAGCGGGGGCAGATAATTATTGCCTTTCCGCTCAGAGATGCCGGGTGTAAAATAGAATATTTTATAGTTTTTAGTAGTTTTTAATTGTTAGCGACTTAGTATAGTAAAATAAGGCTTTTTGAAAGCTTAGAAAATTTGGAAGTTTTGGCCGTTTTTGGTAATTTTCATTTTTTGAGCAAAAATCTATACGTAGCGAAAGTTTCGTCATTTTTATGAAGTTTTCAAGCTAGGAAAACAGCCTGAAATGCTATAAAAACAGTTGAAATTAGAAGATAGGGCCCGGCATCGGATTCCTGAGGAAAATGGACCCCCGGATAATCAGCCAGAACCTTTTAAAGGCATCCCCAATTGTCCAGCAAAATATGTTGTAGCGTATCGTCGGCTGGGGGCCGCGGCTCGCTTCACCTATTATTCAATTGGCCCATCCTGAAGGCGGTTGAGGGTGAGCCCTAGCAAAAAGAGGGGAAGGGTGTCCGGTGTCCGGGCCGTGTCCTGTGAATTATTCGGTCAGTCCTCATTATGGGCACATAGGAGCCCCGCCCCCTTCAACGAGGCAGGCACACCCACCACATGTAGACAATTTGCCCCGGAACGCTCGAGTTCAACCCCCAGCATCCTCTTTTCTTTAGCTCTCTCCGGTGAGCCAAATTTTGGGGTTAGACGTTTTTGCAGGACCCCAGGGATCCTGACATTTAAGGTACTGGACTGTTAGCGGGGGGGACCGGGGATAAATACGTCAATAGCAAAAAATTTGTTAGCGTTTTATAGTGGATATATATATATGTTTTTAGTAGCTTTTCAGTCCTCCCAGGTTTTCAAAAATTTACATTTTTGTTTTCATACATTCTTGACAAAAAGCATACAATTTAATGCTTTTCTACGAACTTGTTTAATTAAAAACCCATAAAAACTATATAAATGCTCCATTCTTGATTATTCGAACCCTAAGGGCCTCTAGGAGAGCCTAGCTCCCCCGCCAATAGTCAAGTACCGCCTTTTTAAAGGGGATTGTGACAGGATGCTGATATTCTTCAAGACCTCTAAACCCTATTTTATAATTCAGTGTTCCCACCGCTCATTAGCGTGCGCAGCGTCAGGGAGCGTTCGTTTTCTTCCTCCCTTGATTGCGAATTTTTTCAATTTATTGTTCGTGCTTCTGGAAATACTATCTGCTGCCTCCTTTTTCTGCGGCACGCGGCTTTTCCAAGTGGATGAAAGCGAATAGGGCGTGTGTTTGATGCTTCTTCTTTGCATATGCCGTGTCGACGGGTTGTAAAGGATCGGAATATTCGATTAGGTACGTCGGGGGTTATTTTTAGGGCTTGCGAGTCGCAACATACAGCAGAAGGATCGGACGATTTTGTGTCTTTTTAACGCTTCTAGTTTGTAATTTTTGTTGCTTTATGAAAATTTTTGCAGCACTATTTAACGCTATTAGGGTTTTATCTGTTCGTCAATTTATTAAATTTTAATATGTACGCGAAAATTAGTAGAATTTTTTAGGCCTAGGTTTATACATTTCCTGTTGCAAAATATAACCCTTTTCACCCGCTATTACGCATATTTCCATTTTCTCGCCAACTTTATAACTTTCATTGTTAAGAATCTGATTTATTTTTCCCTTTCTGAATTCGCTACACAGATCCAGCATATCCCCCCTAATCCTCCCGGCCTCGTGCCCCTGTTTGAGTGGGAGGTTTTGTGGGGAGTAGTGTGTATTTCCTGTCTCTTCTCAACCCACCGTGAGCATGAATGTCTTCGTTCGCGAAACCCCCACCTACATCTTTCGACACTTAATCTCGTGCTAAAAGCGAAAAAGGTAGTTTTCTAGGGCTTTTGTCAGGCGGGGCGTGGTACGATGACTGGGGTGCTTTTTAATCAGTCTGGAGAATCTATTTTTCTAATATAAAAGTGTTTTCAAACGTTTTCAACTATTTCTAAGGGTAAAAAACTTTATAAATTTTTATTTAAGCTACGAAAAACGTGGCTTTTTCTGACCAAATGAGCAATTTACTAATTTTTTTTATAGGTTTCTCAATACATAGGCCTTGAAAAAACTAAATTTTACTGACTCTTAACTACAGTTTGCTATGACGATTACTATTCTGGACATCTATTTTTTTAGGGAAAAAGAAAGATTTAACTTCCCGTTCGAAATACTAAAAAAATTCAGAATTTATCCCCCCCAAATCCTGCTTTCAAACTTAAAAAATCCTTAAAGGTAGAATCAGCGGAACTCGATAAAGCCGGTATTAAGGATGGGGAGTCGTCGGCTTTATCCGCACCTGAAGCCCCGCGATCTAGGGGGACATTTGACTCCAATTCGCCCTGTGGGTGGACCCCTCGTGGGCAATTCGAGCCGATACCCTCTCCAGATTATACGGCGCTTTTGGCGCGTGTCCTAACAAGGGAGGTGCGCTTTCAAAATATATTGTTAAGAAATCTAAATAGTATTTATTATTTTAAATACAAAATTACTCGGGTTGAGGTTGGTGTGTACTCCCTAATCCAATTGTACACTTCCTGCGCCTGCTACTTTCTTCAAAGTTGAGTGACCCTTGTGTCTCTCAAAAGCTAATGCCCCGCACGTTGTTTTTGCGCTTCACCTTTGCGGCAAGATAAAAAATGGGCGGAGGGCCGACGGCGGCCGGCCAGGAATGCACTAATCTGACCTGCTTGGTCCGGTTTGAATACCTCCACATCCATCTATACTCTTTCTCTTCCCTCCCCTTTTCTGCCATTCCTAGCGTCTACTCGCCTCGATTTGTGATCTATTCCAGAGTTCTCCTTGCCTCTAAGGGGCTTCTAGGCCTTCCATTGCTCATCCAAAAGCATTGCCCATTTTCGCCCTAACCTTGCACCCACCGCAGCATCCCCTGCCCCCTCTTTTGCCACGAGGGAGAAGCTCGCGCCTCTGAAATTGACATGCCCGTGTGGAAATGGTGCACTTTCGGATTGGCGCCAGGGTGGGCGGCGGCTGCTCTCGATAAAATAAATCTAGGTGCTTGCGCATTATCGGGACGGAGGAGCAACTTTTTGTTTTGGATCCAATTCCTCTAGCGGTTAAATCGTTTGGTAAGACTTTAATTTTACCCCGCCCCCCCTCCCCCAACCCCGCCCACAGCCGAAGGTCTCAAAGTTTTCGGTATTTTTTGCGTGTTTTGTCGACATTTTTGCACCTTCATTCTATAGGGTGCCGAAAAGTATACTAAGGGTTTAATCTGAGGCTACGTCTTAAATAAAGAGGTGTAACACGGCATTCCCGGCGCCCCGGGGGTAAGACAAGTCTTGTTTTTTGCTCTCGGGCGATTTTTCCTATTCTACGACGTAAAACCTTTGCAAAGTTTATCAATATAAAATTTTGCAATCACTTTCCCTAAAAATCACCGAATTTACAGCTTACAAAAATCCAAGAATTTTCGAAAAGGTTGCGTAAATTTTGGATATTTTTCCGCCTTGAAATATAGTTGAAGCTTATTAAAGCAGTTTTATAATATTTACGATTACGCTACTGGTCATTTCTGGAGTCCCAGTTAAAAGTTGGAGTTAGGTTTAGCCGACAATCCCCCCCGCCATAATGGGAAGCACCTGAATCCAGCTTTTTTGGATTGGCTTTTGTGAAATTTTGTTTAGTATGATTTGATCGGTTGCTAAAATAAACGGTTCCCTAGGCTCCAACTTTTTTTCGTTATTTCTATAGTTTTCGGGATTTCGGGCGTTTGGTTTTTACAAATCGATCAATTCCGATACGCTCCCACTAACCCCTGAAACGTCCGGTAATCCGGTTTCGCTACTTACCCCGATCACCAAAGTTCTACCGATCTGTTGGGCCCAGGAACCCGAGTCCAGGCGGACCTGAAGCCATTTTGTAGCCTCTTCCCCCAATTCCGGTTTGTTTGTTGAACGTCTAGGTGGGGCCCATTTTTTGCCCAGGCACAATCAGCTAGAATCATAAAGTGGTGGCACCCATCCCATCCACCCCCTCTTCTTTTGGCTACTTATGCCCCCGGTTGGGTTTGGCCGTGCTTTATCCCCCTCCTCCCCTTTTTGGGCCTTTAGGTGGCCTCAGGCCATTGGGAGGCTTCTTCTTCGTTTGGGGATCGTCGATTGCCCCCCCCTCTTTTCTTCTTTCACCGCGAAAAATGGGACAGCTGCCAGGTGGTGGTCTCAGTACCGTAAGTTGTCTTCCACAGGGGTTGCTCGCGTGCTCGCTCCTCTTTGCTGGTCCATATTTTAGTATGGTGCCAACTTTCCACGTAGTCCTTTTTGTTTATTTAATACACA